GTTTCAAAGTACCACGTATTTATTCTTAGCTCTCGCTGAATAACACATATATGGACTGGACTAACTACAAATGCACTCTCATACCTAGAAATATTTGTCCGCTACATGTCGTCTTACAAAGTGGTACCATATTTATCCCAAATGATTTTTAATTCATCCATAAATGACAAACTCGTTAACCAGACATTTTAGACACTTTAAGGAAATATTTTGTTCGAAGTGAAAGAATGATTTTGATCTTTGATTTACATCATCAGATGGGTTTACATGTGACTCATTGTCCCAATGTGCCATATATTTATGCAGAATTATTATTTCAAAAGGCATCAATTAATGAGAAAGTTATAGATCGGACACAACCACCTTGTTACGTTTATATTATGATTTATGATATAGAAGCTTAACTGTAGACATATCCTGCTTGTGCATGACAAGACCTTTTCAAATTACACATTTACGCAGTTATTGTCGTTCCAGGACGGCGGCATATACAATAAACAAGATTTAGAAATTTTTACCCGTACACCACCTGCTCTAAGTCAATCAAACAGATAATTTAATACCACATGATAACAAAGTAAACGACAAAAGTCCTAACACAGGGGCCACAACCACCATGTTCTTGTCGGGTTTCCTATATAAGCAAATGAAATACTATCCTCATGCACGAAGCTCGGCACTAGTATGTTGGGGCTTCCATGGGATAAACATCATATGGAATATTTCTCTTACAATAAGAAACATTAACTCTTTTATTCAGGAAAGTAGTCTATTTCATGAAAATATATATATATATATTTCGAATGCAAGCCTGGATGGCGATTCCTATATTACTTTTGGAAATACTAAGACTTTTTTTAAACATCATGTCGTGCATGAAAAATTGTCGATCGGATTCCCCACCAATGAACTTTTACCAACTTGTCTTTCTTGATTGACATGACCCTGATCTTTGCACTGTTGAATTGGCTCTCAATCACTTCACGTCCCAGTACATGTTCTTGCGCAATTGACATTGACATAAGAAATAACCAAACAATTTTCATGGTATCCCTGTTTGAAGATTAAATAATAATATAAAGTATATCATTTCCCAATCCGTTATAGGCAGTATAGTTATGCTCAACTTTTTTTTCAAATCCATCTCTTAATGACAGAATACTTAAATGCACATCTTTTTTCAAGCACTTTCAAGTCTAACTTGCTTAGTCGAGCTTCAAACCTGGGTCTTTCTTATGACATTGTATCAATGTGCCACACATTAATGCAATTATTTCAAAATCTAACCAAAAATGACAGATATGGACGAAATTAAAAACGGACAGACAGGGACAGGCTCTTACTGAGAGATTTGTGAAAATGTCTGTTATCTTAATGTTTGTTTCTTACTCCAAAAGCAGTCTTTTGCCTCCCATAACCAATGATTCATCCTATAGTCGGGGGGTATACGGAATTAATCTAAACGCCTAATTGTGATCGCAAATACCCTAACTGACATAAGAGGACTCTCGGACAGATAGACAGACGAACAGACATTTGAGCAGGTCCCCCCTCAGAGCGATACAAATCCAATTTAAAAAACGTCGCAATAATTTAAAGATCATGAATTGTATTCTTAGTATTATAAAAATAACATCTCAATGTCAAAGTGAACGCAAATACGACTCTCATTTACGTTGTATTAGGGTATAAATTATGACCTTTTTGCATCATAAAGTTTGTAGTTTTAATGGATGTTTTTCAAAATCTGCGCTTGGAAGTCTTAATTAGTATCACTGCACTTCTAATAAAAGAAAACATGCCTTGTAAAATGTCTTCTCGTGCTTGTTTACTTTAATTTTAATACAGTGTATAAAACATAGGAAATTGTCAGCCATTTTGAAATCCAAGATGGCTGCCGCAATAAATTATGTTGTTTTTGCATCTATTCTTCTCGTACACACTTCAGCAGACTAAAATTAACAAAGCCTTAAATTAAAATGCAAAAAAAATATGTATGTATCTCGCCCATGGGAAAATTAAAAAAAATCAATGGCGGCCATTTTGAAATTGATTTTTAAAGGTCAAGGACTAAAAATACAGCCGTGGTAGAGCAAAAAATGAATTCAGCGTACTAGAAATAGGAAAGTAAGCCCAACTACCTGCTTGTACTAAAAAATGCCGTTAGGATGAACATTTTTCCAAAATCAAACCAGTCTATCAGTGTTTCCAATAGAAACGTTCTTTAAAGGCTGTTCCAGCGGGTTGAAAAAAACTGTCGTTAAATCTACGGTGTGTAGAAACATTTTAAGAATAACCAATTTTGAAAACGATGATAAAACTTTGTTTGTTTATTTTATTTCACTCTATAATTTTTGAAGCGAAATACAAATTATCAAAAGTGAAATAAATGTAAAACTTAAATCATTTGCGACATTAAAATAGCGTTCTCAATTTGATTGTTTTGCACGTGCTGTTTGGCGCTACATTGTGACGTCACGTAGACAACACTTTAAGCGTCAATACAGCGTTAACGACTGAATTAAAGATATTGGTGTTTGGATTAATTTTCTTAGTTAGACCATTTTCTTTCATTCTAGATAGTTTACACAACAAAATTCGACAAAAGATGCTTTTTTATTTATCAGATTGTTCAAACAAAATGGCGCCCTCATGGTGAAAAAACACAGGGAGATAATAAGAACGGCGAGTGCATTGTTGTACAATTTAATGCACGCTTCGGGCCTTCTTTGCTTCTATAGAAAAAATTGATAGTGCTAGAATAAGAACTTTATACACGCCAGAGTAAGGCCGGAAGGTGGTTCTTGACCCGCAAAATGAATAATGGCCCTGAGGGCTTTAACCCGACGGCATTATTCATTTCAGGGCCGATTATTCAAATAGAAGCGTTTTGATATATATTTCGTTGAAATTCCTGTCTTTGTAGATTTCGACGATACAGTGACTTCTAAAGAGTTGTTTTCCTTCAACATGTGTATAAACAAGAAGCACGTTTTATTTTCTCGGAATGAAATATATCATATTTTTATTCTTACGATTACAATTAAATTGTGTTTGTACAAATTAAGCTTAAGTTCTCATCATAAAATCAAGCGATTCTTGCTTGAAACCTACTTTCACTTTTAAAACTAGCTGTTTTAATTTAAAATGTGACGTCATTGTTTCATTGTGTACACGTACTCTTTTTCAGCGGGCTGGTTATCACTATCAGTTGAAATCATGGGCCATTTTGTTACTATAATTATATAATAACAAGTGTATTAGTTCATGTTCCACATCTAAACAATTTTTCTCCTGAAAAAAGACTTGCTAAAATACAATGAATGGCTCAAATTTTAAAGAGAGATTACATAAATTTAATACAAGAAAAAACTTGTTTAATACAGGTTGTTAGACAGATAGATTCAATGAAAGATATCACTTGTTAACAAAATATTACAGCTCACGTATTAACACCCTAAAAAGCAAATACATCCATTTTTGTGTCAATTCTGATTGTATAAAAATCCATAGGCATGTCTTCTAAATAAGTTTTTTTAAAGGAATATACAATGTATTGCATGTTAAAAATTTCTTTCAATACAAGAAACAAAACAAAACAAAAAAAAAAAACAGTACAATATTCTTGCGTTTCCAACAGTAACATGATATACCTTTGGGGTTTTATAAATATATATCAATTTTTTTTTCATTTTAAGATCAATAATACTTTAAAATTCTAAGCATTTATTCTCTCCCAGGAGAAGAAACTATGGTATATCAAAGAAGAAATTTGGTCGTAAATTTTTGTCAATCCTAAAGCTAGATACTTATATTTCTTTTAACGGCATATTTAATAGTTCATCCAGAATACACGAATAGAATCACCACAAAAGCTGGTTCATAAATGATATCACGTTACATACCGGTATGTTGTAAAAAATAGTTTTTATTTCATTGCTATGATTGCTATGGCAACAGAAATGAAAATTCAGATGTTGGAAGTAATCTTTAAGTTTCTCGCAAATGTATGCAAGGATTTAAATTTTTATTCAACACTGTGCATTAATAGATGGTATTGTCCAATGCGAACTTTAGTTGAATTGAGGATTAAAATACGTTTATTACCATACCAACATTATGTCATTTGTTCAATGTAATAAGTAATCCGTAGTGTTTCAGATTCCAAGAAGTTTTCAGTGGCCATATATCTGTACCGTTTTTTTTCTTCTTTTTTTTTTTTTGCATTTTAGTACTTTTATGGTAAAACAAGTATTTGTATTGAAGCCAAATATACTAATGTTTGCCTGAACGTTTCCTACAGATGGAAAAATGTATTTATTTCTGAGAAATTACGGGTCTTTAATATTTGCAAATTAAAATGTAAACATGCAACATAGGCATGTTGGAACATTTGTAATACGTTGCCTAGGGTGATGCTGTTTTTGATGGATTAAACATTTATAATTTGTTTTGTTGTACTACAGGAACACTTTTTAAACTGGAAGAACTTTAAGCCAATTTCCACCGATAATGTTATATATGCATTATTATCACCTATTGCCTTAGAAAACGTGTTTTCTCATTATCAAATGAACGTATTGATTATTTTGTTTATTTTGTTGTGGAATGGAATATTCTAACTGTCATTTAAGAGGCCCGTAACTTGAAATTTATCACCAGATGTTTTGTTAATTACTTCCCGAAACCTGTTTTTAAAATCATCAGTTCAAGCAATTATGGATAATTTGGTTAATTTAGACATTCCTTTAATGTAGTGTTTGTTCATTGTGCATAATTTGGAACTTTCTTTTTTCAATTTCAGCGATTTTTAACGATAACAAGCTGGCCTGTTGTCAAAAATCGTGACTTGATGATTCATTTATTCTATGTTTTTGTAATTGCAATTGACTTGAAATAAATGAAAACTACAACCCCATCTTCAAAGGAAAAGAATGTGTCCAATAGTATTGCCTAAAATAGTAAGATGACTTATAAACTTTTTTTTTTTATATTTTCAGTTCACCAGCTTCGGATCTTGCCGCAAGACGAGGAGTTTTCAGCAGAAGGCACTATGGTTCAGTGGAACTGGTATATATTTGACTTTATAAGTGTTTATCAATGTATTGGTTGTATCAGTAAGAGGATTTTTTAATCAGTATCTGAATTTGTTTATCAGAATATCGATTTGTTTATCAGTATGTTTATTTGTTTATCAGTATTTGGATTTGTTTATCAGTATGTGGTTTTGTTTATCATGATTTCGATTTGTTTATTTTTTTTAATATTTTTTTTTTCAACTTTGTTTATCAGTATGTTGATTTTTTATCAATATGTTGATTTGTTTATCAGTATGTTTGTTTTTTATCAATATGTTGATTTGTTTATCAGTTTAATGATTTGGTTATCAATATGTTGATTAGTTTATCAGTAGGTTGATGTTTATCAATTTGTTGATTTGTTTATCAGTATCGGGTTTTGTTTATCAGCATCTGGTAATGTTGACAAAGAGTATGTGTTGTAATTTGTCAGTTTAAAACTTTCTGCCTACATTTGAAGATGGTATTGTTCAAAATGTTAATATTGTTTATCAGTATGAAGGTATTGTTTATCAGTACGCAACGGCGTTTCCAATTCATAATTCGTCTCCTATAACAGAAAAAAATCAAGCTACTAAATCTCATTTTTATTATTTAAAAGACAGTTTCATCAAATCGCATTTGTTTAAATCAGGATTTACAAATGTTCGCTCCCGTTTTTTTGAAAAAATGATTTTCTTTTAATTAATGCTGATTTTAGTTTTAAAAAAAAAGTTTTAGTAATATCTAATCAAATCCAATTTTGCTAAACTTTTATTCCCGTTATATTTAATTTTAAGTAATTTACAACATTGCTACAAGACCTTACCAATTTCATACTTGTATTTTCGGAAGGTTTCTTGAACCCCTGCCTTGATTATAATGTCAATGCGAGCATACAGTATTTGGTAATTTCCTTTTTGCAGAGAATATAATTAAAGAAAACCGAGGGAAATTGTTTGTATACTGATGAATTTTGATAATACAACATTTTACTAAGTTACTTTAATTAAACTTACATGAAGCCTTTGACAGGTATTATGGTGCTTGATTTGTGCCATTCATGTGTTTGTATCTCTATAACGTGCCCCCGCTTATAAGCGTGTTTTCGCTCCGCGCCGCCGCCATTTGAATTTGTTAATTCTCGACTTTTCGCTTTGGCGGGGTCGCGGGGCGAAAACAAGAATGGCACAAATTAGCCACCATCACAGATGGAAACTGTCAATGATTAGCTAACTGGGTGATTATATCGTCTTGTAATCAGGACAGAAGTCTGTAACTGCTGAAATGTCGATGAGAATGTTTGACTAATTATGTCAAATTAAGCCCAAAAAAAGGCTGACAAAATGAACACCGAGCTGTTGAGTTTAAATATTAGTTTTTTTTTTTTTTGATTTTATCTTCCAAGTATAACCAAAAATTCATAATACCTTGGAATAAAGCATAAAATTTTAATGTATTGATTTTTATAAACATTTCCCCATTTTGTTTTTAATGTTAAAAAAAAAAAAAAAATATAAAAAAAAAAATTGACACAATTTTTTTTAATAGGAACTAGAAAGCATAAAAAATAAAAAAAGACAAAGTTTAAAACATAAAAGACAAACCCTACAAACTTTTTCATACTTTTTAACCTCAGGGTTTAATAGGCAGAATTCTAAAAAAAACTACGATTTCCCAAAGCCTTTTTTAACCCCACGAATGCAGACTTGTACTTTTAAATTTCATAAAACAATAAACTAAAATAAATAATTCCAAAATTCTTGTTAATCAAGTAAAATATATAGCTGAAAATTTTAAAATTTAAACAAAAAATTAATTCCTTTTTATCGGTAACAATTATCAACAAAAAATTTAACCAAAAGCACATCATGAAAAGAAAAAAAAAAAAAATCACTTTAAAATCTTCTCTTGCTGTACGGAAGGCATAAGAGTAACACAATAACATATTGTTATTTTTGTTTCTCAAAAATTCAATCACTCACTGCAAATTGTTAACTTTCTCTTCTAAGAAAAATGGACAAATTGTGATCCCTCGGAAGTATTAATTCTAACAAAAGTACAAGAAAATTGCAACTCGGTTTGATGGAGTGTGTACATGAGAGAAAGTGAAAAAGTGCAACATCCCTCACGCCCACTAACATCGGCTTGAGCGGTTTCAATTTTTTACACTTAAAATGTTCTGGAATCAGCCTACTTGTACAGCACTTAGTTTTAAATGTTAGATCTTTGATAATCAGGGTTAAAAATTACATAACATCAGCTTATTTGCAGTAATGACATCAATACCTGTAAAGTGTTTGACAAAGTTTTAAACATATGAGCTGATATCAAACATAACTTGCCACATTTTAACTTTGCCGCTTTAGGCCTTCATTACGGGATCTGTTTTTCTCTATTTTACAAGAAGCAAAGAATGGCTCAGCTATATTGGTAAAAAGGAAACATTAAAAAACTGTCATAGACGCCAACAACAACTAAACAATCACAGAGGATTTTTATATTGAAATTAATAGCATTGTAAGGCTTATTTGAGCCTTTAAAACAAAAATTCTCATTTATGTCTACAGAGCTATTACATTCCAAGCCTGACATGATTTACATGTTGGTACGTTATTAAGTTTGCTATTGAACATACGCTTCTTGGGGATTTATTATTTCTAGGACCGCAAATAATGCCCGCATACATCACCAGCCATATCTCAAGCGTAGAATATTATTACTCTACTATTAGATCCCTTAATATCATTTATCAGACGTCAAATATTTTTTTGATACTTTATTTGAGCTACTTTTTTACGACTTCATCTTAAATACCGCGCTTTGTACGATGTACGAATAATTCGTGTCAACTATATGCAAAAATTAAAACGCGAACTCAATATAAAGATAAGCTTGTTGAATTCTAAAACGTGCAATAATATTTGATGATAAGATATCATATTTTCATGCCATCGTCGTATGTCGAAAACAAAATGTAAAGCTTATTATACTTTCGATGTGTTTGTGATCATGATAATAGACCAAGTTGCTTGATTCAAGACTGACTGACTGCCTTAAACATTACCAAACACTCGATATTCTATTCCGAGAAGAGATGGGACAGGATAGTTTAATCACATTCTATACTAAATTTATTTAGCTCTTTTAAACAAAGTAAGTACATGTTAAATCTATAGTTTACATATTGTATTTTCTCAAGATAGAAAACATTTTTCGTCGGGTGTGACTTTTAACATTCCAAATAATTTCTTCAAGTAATGAACATATAAATTTTGAAAAAAACATTGTTGAAACAGTATCACTAGAGAACCAACTAGAGAACCAAATAGCTGCTTTGTCGGTCTATCTTTGGACTGGGAATGAAATAAGGAGGTTTTGACGTTTTAATCACACAATAAAATTAAATGTTCTGCATTCGGTAATTCGTTTTTTTTGTTACCCAAGTTCTCTTCGAAGGAATAAACATTTCTATAATAACAGAATGCATTATGTAATTAAAGTTCTTCCCGTCTTTTATGCTAAAGATATTTTTCCTATAAACAAGAACTTTGTGTACCAATGGTAATTCAACGATTTTTGTTGTTGTTTTTTTTTTCTCTTCTTTTCTTTTTTTGGTTCTTTCCTTTAAATCTATGTTGTATTTGTTAAAGGTTATAAATCTATATCTAATGAAATATTTTGATAAACAGTAAAGTTATGTTGGTTCCATCATTATATGGTTGATTCCCGAAAAAGTTTTAACATAGAATGTTTCTGTTATTTAATACTCATGAATTATGTATGTAAACAGAGTAAAATGTTCCGGAACATAATATAATCTTGCTATTTTAAGTAGAATTTTATCTTTTTAATTATGATATTGTGAATGAGCTGTGCGCTTTGAAGGCAATTAATTACCATATTTATTTCATACAAGCATTTTGGAAGTATATATATTTTTTTAAAAATTCAAACAATTATTGTTTGCATCAGATGTACATATAGCTTTATACACTTTAAGACTAAGGACTGATTTAAAGTACATTGTACATAGCCATTCAGTAAAATAATGCTGTCAAATATAAAGGATGGGCTTTAAAAATTTTGAAATCTATGATAAGGAGCATTCCGTGTTAACTCGGTTGTTAAAGTGAACAAAGTGCATATTTATTATACTAATAAAACAACATGAAACGTAGATAAGCCTTGCCTCAAACCATATTATACAAAATGTTCAATACAATCAATACTAACATAACAAATATTATTTGATATGATGTTTTGCTTAGATGAGTTCTCATAAAATATAAAAGGATTGATTGTTGTTGTCTGCATGTTGGTTAGTCTTGCGGTATAACTATATTAGCAGTTTTGTTATTGGATCAGTTGATGTCCTCTTGCAAAGCTTATTTGGTATTACATAAAACAAGTTTAAGTTCTGCATAAATAGAAAAGTGATACAGATTCGATTTTAGTCATGAAACAATTTAATTTCTTTGGGCATACAAAACAAACTCTAACTGCAACGAGAATTTACGAGGCATTTAAACGCCGGAACTCAATAGTTCTAAAAGATCAGTACATACTTGAACTTTTGTTGTTGACGTTAAATAAATCTGTTTCGTTCGACAGCTTACGGGTTGTTATTATTGCAACAAACGCACTTTTCACTTTTATTAATAAAACAACCAAAGTAACATACATAATTATTTTCGAATCATGAGCAAATGGTATGAAGAATAATATCAAAGCCAAGATGTATGTATGAAATTGTGCACAGTCAGGTTAATCTTACTTTCCTACCAACATACTTGATTTGTTTAATCTTAACATAAATTTATGAAAGAAGAATTGATTTATGATTGAGTAAAATCTTTTATATATATCTAAGGATATGTATGTACTCGTTGGAAGGTTATGATACATAGAGCTAAGCTAAGATAAAAATCAATTTACAGGTATATTTATACAGAATGTTATGTATTTCAGCTAAATTCAACTGACTGTGACCCTTCGCTTAATGCCGGAAGGTTCAGACTTGAAACAGGTGAACGCTGTCAAGAAGAGGTTAGTTACCTGGTGTATACACGTATACCTTTACTTTTAGTTCATTTGCGGTTCATACAATAATTAAATAGTTGTGCGATTGTCTTTTAAATGTATTACGAATTGTCTATTTTACAAAGTTGTATAATTTCTGACTTGTGGACCGGTTAAAACCCTCCTTTATTTTCAATGAACTTATTTGCTTGTGTTTAGATAACAAGAAGTGCTTAGGGAAAAGAATATGTAAAACGTGATAAAAGGAAGTTGAGCCTTTCTAAGCGATTTTGGTGAAATAGACAATTTGTCACTATGTTTATTCCAGGGTGTTTTTTTTTTTGTATTTATTTTTCTTTTCAAATTTGAGGTACATTTACTGTTACTAGAAAGTATTATCTATGTGAAATAGATCATTTATAATCACAATTATTTTTATGTCATTTTCGTCTTGAAGATATACGATCATTTTAAAGTATTCACTCTAAAATTGATTTTCCTTCTGCGAAATGTCAATCTGTTTTCTAATACATTGCTTCGGTTGAAGACATTTTCAATATAAGACTTTATATCCGTTAATGACAGAATTTGTGAACAAATCACCTCACAATGTAGTTTATCATTTTCACTTCATGGGACAGATGTAAATTTATTTCAAAGCGCATACCGTTTACCATCTTTAGGATGTCAAATAATTCATATACAGTGCCGTTTTTAGTCTTTTTGTAACTAATAAAACTTATTGATGTCATATAAAATATAATTTCTATGATGAAGTCCGGTCCATTGACATATCTTTCAATTTGGTGCAAAGAGAGAAGATACCTTACCCAGATATGGAAAGTTCATCATAAAAACGGTTGAATCTGACTTCTATTTTTATAAAGCAGCAACTGAATGCCATTAGCAGCATTTGTAAGGAAACTATGAAACGTCATATTTCATTATGTATGTAAATGTAGTTCCAAAAACGTACTTTATCTGAACATACGTAGAATACACTTTAACTTTGAATTCTTAAAACTCAGATTGAATATTGCTTGCTTTAATTTGGCATAAGACACTTGTTAATCTACAATGAGCCCATACCGCTGGACTGTATGTGATTTTAGTTAAGAGGCGGGAGAAAGTTACTCTTAAAATACCTTTGAACTTGCTTTATTTAACTTCTTTGTCGTTTTCTTTTCTCCATCTTTATGCTTGGTCATATTTACTATTCTTGAACAAAATTGTGGACAAATCTTGGTTGGCAAATAGTTTTCATCATTCATGATGAAAACGTATCTCCACTTTACAGACATACTAGAAGTAAAAGGTAAAAATCGTGTACAAGAGCTTCTTTCACGGGCTTTTTTAAATTAAAGATTTTTACAACAATAATTTGATTTTTCATTTAAGATCCGTCATGCCAAATGTTGCCACGTTTATTTTCAAATTTCAAACTTAACGAATTTCAATTGAACGTTGGCTTGGTCAGAAAATAATGCAGTACGGGAAAATTAAAATGATTATTCATGTTAAATGATGCTTTGAAGTTTGAATTTGATTCGTTACGCAGACTTTTGAATGTTGGTTAAATTGATGTTCCTTTGTAGTTCATATCGCCAATAATTACGTGGTGGTCATCAAATGAAAATTATATAGGCCGCGATGAAGATTATATGGGTTCTATACAATAAAATTTGACGTCATATCAATTGATAAAACTAGGAACACTTTATAGGAAAAAAAAACATACACACGGACATAAACTAGGCTTCCAAATTGAATGAAATTATATAAACTTAAACAATTCGTCGGTTGTTATAGAACATTGTTGATCTTTCAACTTTAATATTCGGATAGACATTCAAGTAAACACTATAGAATGCTTAAGATTTGTTTATATCTTCATATGTTTCAGCCTGTAAGTCCATTAAATAGTCCTGTTCATCTAGAGAATCCTGAATTCCAAACAAGATGGTACTTCAAATACTTTCTTGGAAAATGTAAGTAAAATGTGTATTGTCTGTGCGTATATCCATCTAATTTTATCGTCTTCTCTTGTATTTTTTCCCAATTTTCTTCATATGTATGTATGTATGCTAAAACCTAAAGGCAATCGTATTAACTTGATATACAGAGAGTATTAAATTAGGGTCTGTTTTGTAACTGAATTTATTTTCTCGGCTAGGAGTGTGCCGATTCCATTTATATTTAACAAAAACTTCTCTTTAATTTGAACATTTCTTCTGAAAGCCATCGCATAAAATGGCTTTTGCTGGTTTTCATTTTCATTTTAATGACATGACAAGATAGGATACAAGTATGCCTGATTAAAACTAATCGGAATGTTAGCCTAAGGAATGAATACGGATTTAAAACAAATCTAAAAGGCTAGAGTCGGGAGTTTGATTTGCATCTATTTATCAACACAAAGAGTCAATTTTTCCTTAGTGTGATGATTATAATTAATAAATCTATTTCTCTTTTCTATGTCACCCCTCGCGAGGACGTAAACATGCCAATTATTTTGAAAATGTTCGCTTGTCAAAACAAGTTGTTGTCATTAAAGTTTGTTCCTCTGATTGTTACACATTCATGTTTTCTAAGAGAATGAAATTGCCATAACATTATTATAAATGTTTCAGATGTAAAATAAAAACGATTTCTGCATTGATATGTCTCCTTGTTAATGGCTAGGAATTGTTATAGTGGTGAATCCCTTGACCAACTCATTTTAGTTTGTCTCTGCTTGTAATTTCATTTACAAGTTTTCAATTTTTCAGCGTGTCGTTAGCACATTGATGTAATCTTTACGGACGCAAATGTTCTTTGATAACTTATTTCCATGCATTTTAAATACTCAAGTATTTGAAAATAATAAATTTATTTCGATTTGGACCAAATAACCAGTTGTGTGTTAAAATCATCCAAGGTGTTTTGCCATTTGTTATTGTGTTTATTTGTTTATATATTTTTTTATTTATTTATTTATTCTTTTATTTTCAAATTGTACAGGAACGTGATTAACGATAGCAAATGTTTCAAATTCAATTTTGCAGCATTTAGACATATTTAATGATCCAAAATTGAATATCCGCGACAAGATGACACAACAATCTTTCGCGCAAGAAATCTCTTTGTTGTAGCAATGCTGTTATTGCAGTGCATGCCATTTTTGCATTCCGTAAATATATTTATTGTTTCAGTGCACCAGAACTATGTCGGGATAGACTTAGACAAAGACGTTTTCTTATTGTCCGTTGTTGTCACTGACGCCAACAATCACAATGTCCCTCAATATAGAGCTATACTCTGGACAAAAACCGTAAGTTACTGGACCACATGATGGTATATTTATGACATGTCATCATTGGTTGTTATTTTCGTATTAACGTTATGGGAAACTCAAAGAAAATGCCACTAAACAAACCTATGTGAGCTTCGTCGAACTAATCTAAGAAGATTTCAATTAGAATAATACAAACTGACACAGATTGTCATATTCACTTTATCACAAGGCTACATACAGATATTGTGATTAACGTTGAAGATATTTTCTTTCATTAATAACCTTCTGAAATGCGCACAAATAATTGTAAGAGAATATTTCCAATAAACAAACAACAAATGTCTCTCATTCTCTCATTAATGATTTGTTATTACATCAAACTGCTCTTAACCATACATTTCAATCAATATTATGCTGTTTCGTTAAAAATTTAAACGCAAACGAATATGGTTTAAATGATAAAAGAAAAAAAAAGATTACCATAAATATTTCACATTAAAGTCAAGGAAATTCATGGGATAAATTGGAAATATTTTTTCCTGACAATTCAATTTTAATGTGGGCGCGTGAACATTTCTAAGGAAGATTTGAGTACATTAATGTCCTGGGAAACATTTTTCAAGTCAAGAGTATCAAAAGAAAAAAATGGAATCTACGTTTACTTTTGGGATTTTTTTTATTTTCTTTATAGACTCTATTTTAAAGTTTTTACTTAATTACTTATTTTTTCTGCTGTAACTTTTGTATTGGGATTTGCGTTTTTAAAGTTTAAGTATAAAAATAATCGAATTAGAGCTTAACTCCCACGGTAATAATTAGACTACGTTTTCCATTACTTTATACAAGTAACATATTTATCTATGTTTGATTGTAAAACAAGTTCTTGCAGCTTGTATTAATTACTTACTTTTGTTTTCTTGAACGTACTGACTCTGCTGTCATATGGGCTAACATAGTTGAACTCGAACCCACAAGAGAGAAAAACACATTTATCGTCGCCTCATTGCTCCATTTTCTTCCTTATATGCTTGTGTGTGTTTTAAAGGAATTCAATATCATTTCCTGTCGTATGTGAACGTACTATTAGTTTGATTTATTTAATTATCTCATAAATTATTTCATAAAAGTTTAATATATAGCTTAAAGATGATTTTTTAGACGTCAGCCGTCAGGTGTCGAATATTGGATTAGAATTGATTGCTTATAATAAAATTATTTATAATTGCTCTAATTATCATTAAATGTGCGTCAGGCTTAGTAAATCAATAAAACTTCGAATATTTTCTCATATAAAACAATGATGATGAAACCATTAGATTTGCGTCAGGCTCAGTAAATCAATATAACTTCGAATATTTTCTCATATAAAACAATGATGATGAAACCATTAGATTTGCGTCAGGCTCAGTAAATCAATATAACTTCGAATATTTTCTCATATAAAACAATGATGATGAAACCATTAGATTTGCGTCAGGCTCAGTAAATCAATATAACTTCGGACATTTTCTCATATAAAACAATGATGTTGGAACCCTTAGATTTGCCTCAGACTCTCAGTAAATCAATATAACTAGACATTTTCTCATATAAAACAATGATGGTGGAACCATTAGATTTGCCTCAGACTCTCAGTAAATCAATATAACTTCGAACATTTTCTCATATAAAACAATGATGATGGAACCATTAGATTTGCCTCAGGCTCAGTAAATCAATATAACTTCGAATATTTTCTCATATAAAACAATGATGATGGAACCATTAGATTTGCCTCAGACTCTCAGTAAATCAATATAACTTCGAATATTTTCTCATATAAAACAATGATTGTGGAACCATTAGATTTGCCTCAGACTCTCAGTAAATCAATAAAACTAGACATTTTCTCATATAAAACAATGATCATGGAACCATTAGATTTGCCTCAGGCTCAGTAAATCAATAAAACTAGACATTTTCTCATATAAAAAACAATGATGGTGGAACCATTAGATTTGCCTCAGACTCAGTAAATCAATATAACTAGACATTTTCTCATATAAACCAATGATATTGTTTAAGATAGTACTGATCCACTTGATCAATTTCATCATTTGTGACTTAATATATTATGATATCATTTTGAAACAGTTATGACGAAAGTGTAGATTAATTACGACAGTAGTTGGGAGTTATTCCCAAGTATTATGTAAATTAATCTAAATATAGACTTGTATCGTAAAATATAAGATAATATAACATGGTGGTCTTCAGAGTCCGAATCAAAGCAAGTTTAACTTATTGCCGGAAAAGCCGGTCTTTTAAAGATTTTCATTTTCTTTTTTTTGTTGTTATTGTAGTATCTGACAACTAAGTTTAAACACAAATATAAAAATTGATATACATCATTTTTAAATATTCTGTTGGCAAAAATTGTTTCTTGAAATTGAAAATATGCCTACTTGAATATACATATATACGCGTTCGAACAATTTCTAATTGTTTGCTTTACTTTCTTATTTTTTGGTCTATATTTCAGTCAGGGACAACCACTAAACGATATTTAAAAGTTGTGTGTTTCAGTTAATATATTACAAGTCACGTGACTAATCACTGAATTCCCTCGTCCTTCTTTATGTATCTTATACTATTTGTAAATAACAAGACCAAAAAACATGTCCTAATTATATACAACTGTTTTGAATTACGTGATGCAATAAAGCAAGATAACTAGAGTTATATTTTCTTTTTTCTCTCTTTTTTTGCATATTTACACGGCTCTAAAGGTACATGTAAGGTCCAAAAAAGTGTCAAATTCGATTAAAAATTGCAATTCAGTAGCTTTTCTTGGGATTTTTCATGTGAAAACGCCCCAGAATTTTTCGGGAATACCAGGGTGCCCTTTTTGCGCCAAAAACAACACAACGGGTTTGGGCTTTTTAAGGTTTTCCCTTTCCCCCATTAAATTTAGGAAAGCCCGCAATGTTTGACAAAAAGGGGCCCAAATTTTAAAAAAAAAAAAAAATTTGCAAAAAGTATTTAAGGGTTTTTAAGAGAAACTAGGAAAATAAAATTTGTAGGGAAAAGGGTATACTTTTAAATTAATTAAATGATTTTTGTTCTCTGACTTTAATTACGGGTGTTTAAAAAAAAAAATTTCCCCATTCCCCCAAAAAAACCCCCCCAACCCCAAAAAACCCAAAAAAAGAACATAAAAGGGATACTTAAAACTCTTGATAGGGATAAATAGAAAAAGGGCCTAAAGAATTTTCACCAGAGTTTCCCAAGAAAGAAAATTTGGGTCCTTGAAAGAGCAAAGGTAGCAATAAATGTTTCATTGTTTAAAAAGCTTGGGTCACAAATTGTGCCACGAGAGAGATTTGCCGAGAAAAAAACAAAAAATGGTTATATCAGATCATAGTATTTTTTTACATTCCCTATATGCTTAAGTAACCACGATTGATTTATTGTAAAGAAGTTTGTCACAAGAATGTGAGTTCCAGTGGTTGAGATTGCTAGGAAATATTTTTTAAGAAGTGATAAAATCTTCTAAAGAGTCCGAAGATTTTTAATATCTTTATAGGCACGTTATTGACCAAGAAAACGCTTTATTTACCGTTTCTTAAAAAGCGTTTTCAAGCTTTGGTGTCCTGTTATTAGATCTATTGTTTCCAAAAAGGTAACTCACAGAGGTTCCCAGTTCAAAAAAACCGCCTTATGCCTCTGGCTTGCTTTCTTTGCAATTTTAAACAGAAAGTATTTTTTGTATTGAAAGTTTCAAAAACTGCTGTTGTTTACGTTTTGTCTCTTTCTTGACAATTACTTCACATTCAGCTCTACTTTGTTCATGTGATGAGCATCTAACATGTTTTCGAACCATTATTTAAGCTTTATGAAACTCACGTGTGCCATTTCAACAGAGGAATAAATATTTGTTTCTAAGGCAGTGTGTGAATTTAAGTATAAACAACAAGAATAATTTTCTATTACTAAAGTCGGATAGGCAAATATCTCAAGATTCTAAAAAGTAACAAAAGGTAGCCAACAATTTGAGAGTCTTTAGTTTAGTATCATATCTCTATCCTGTAAAGTTGTTTCATCTGAATAAAAGTCTTGGGATGTATTTTTTAGTAGATGTTAATGTAAATACTCTAAGATTTGTTTTAGACTGACCTTTTTAAATTTAATTTCTTCATTTTTTATCATTTCTCTATAATAAAGAAGTTAGGCAACGTTTATTTTCCTTTTGTTAAGAAACAAGTATTGGAAAAACTATCTCTCTTAATTGTTATGTAACAAAAGCATCTGATTTTATTTTCATAGAAATTGATTCAAATTCCTAAGCAAACACCTGAACATGTCTTTAAGTATATGAAAAGGAATAATCAAGCTACTAAGGAATGTCTACCTAGTAAGCTATTTCTTGTTGATAGTACACAGGTGCTCATTTATAACCAATTACTTTGTAACAAAGAGAATACCTAGTTTTATATATGCAACATACATCTCCTGGAAAATCATCATAATTTTATGTAATATTTCAGGGTTCAGTCAACTTCAAAATAGGTGTGTTATATGCTAAACCAGGTCAGACGTCAGACGATGAATTCTTTTGCAACGGTAACAAAAAAATCTGTTTTATTAGAAGTGTGTGTTCTGTAGAGATATATTTAATATACCAGAATATTTAGCGAGTTTTTTTTAATTGAGACTTTTTCATATTTGAAAATCCTTTTAATGTGATTTTTATTTTTCATAAAAGTAATGCGTTAACTAAAATTAATATATTTTTCATACAGAGAAAATCCCTTAGTAAATAGCTTTCATTTTGAAAAGGCACAAAATATTAAACATTTAGAAATACTTCATTCAATACTTCATTTAACAATTACTATATCACACATCATTGTAAATCATGCTTTGTGTTGCTTAAATAGTATACCATTTGTATAGGATATTTGAAACCTGGCATATGCACGTTTTTTCAAAAGTTATAAAAGATATGCTATGCTCATCATTGAGTAAAACATTTCAATCACTTACTTTGTTGAAATCCATGAAATTCTTACTGAATATGTCTTATTTGAATAAAAGAATGACTAAACTGTGTACCAGGGAATCTGTGTCAAGTTAAGTTTTTTCTAAAAGAAAATGTTTTTTATGACACTATAAAAGCAAAGTGTGACCACCTATATATTCAGGATATCACCTTTTACGTGTGCAAAATTTTTTTCTTGAATATTACTTTTTGGAAAGTCAAATCATGGGTTTAATTTTTTTGCTTTCAAAGAGATGGGGTTAAACAATTATCCCAAAAGTTTTTATATCAAAATTTTACGTTTTTATATCTTGGGATTAATTCAATCCCAATCAAAAATCTTTTTTTTTTAACAAACCTTTTATACATTTTTAGAACATGCAGTGAAAAATTTAAAAATTTTTCGGGGTTTCTCGGAGACAGGGCCGACTCAAAAGGGTTTTTACAAGTTTAAGGGAGGTTTTGACGGGAAAAAGTAATAATTTTTTAAAACAATAAAACTTCCAAAATGTGCCCAAATTTCTTCCCAAAAAATTTTCCAAATTTTTTGCAAAATACCCGATAAACCCAAAAGAAATTAAAAAAAATGTTTAAATTTTTAAAGTTAGACCCGATCGTTTAAAAAACATTTTAAAAATTGACTATTGAAACAGACTCTGTATATATGCAGTTACTTTGAAAATGGTTCAAAAGCACAAATGCAATGTCATAGTTTACATTCACGTTGTGGTAGCAAATGCTGTATTGCAAATCGTTCAAAAAGATGCTTTATGAAGGCAAATGGATATGACAGCTAAATGCCTATTCCCTTACGTATTTTCAAAGGTTTATGGTGAAGTTACTTCAATGTATGCAGGTATGGTTTAATTTGCGACGCAAACTTAGATAAGAGAAACATTATTTACTAACAATATGCATTGCCCTTAATAAATAATAAGTTCATGCAAACAATGATATAGATATAATTTTCATTTTCAGCGAACACTACCGGTGAAGAGTCAATTTATACAGTTTATGAAGGACACGAAATCATGTTCCACATCTCCACTTTATTACCATATTCCACAGAAAACAAACAGCAGGTACAATAACATCTCAACTTTATTACCATATTCCACAGAAAACAAACAGCAGGTACAATAACATTGTTTAAATCTTATCCTGTAATCCTTGTCTTAACTTTATCACCATATTCCACAGAAAACAAACAGCAGGTACAACAACATTGTTTAAATCTTATCCTGTTGATCAGTCCTTGTCTCAACTTTATTACCATATTCCACAGCAAACAAACAACAGGTTCAATAACATTGTTTAAATCGTATCCTGTTGATCAGTCCATGTCTCAACTTTATAACCATATTCCACAGAAAACAAACAGCAGGTACAATAACATTCTTTAAATCTTATCCTGTTTATCAGTCCATGTCTCAACTTTAATACCATATTCCACAGCAAACAAACAACAGGTTCAATAACATTGTTTAAATCGTATCCTGTTGATCAGTCCATGTCTCAACTTTATAACCATATTCCACAGAAAACAAACAGCAGGTACAATAATTTTGTTTAAATCTTATCCTGTTGATCAGTCCTTGTCTCAACATTATTACCATATTCCACAGAAAACAAACAGCAGGTACAAAAACATTGTTTAAATCTTATCCTGTTGATCAGACTTTGTCTCAACTTTATTACCATATTCCACAGAAAACAAACAGCAGGTACAATAACATTCTTTAAATATTATCCTGTTGATCAGTCTTTGCCAACAATATTACAACCAGACCAGCCTGCACTTCAATGCTGACAGCCAAAGCTTATACTGTTGGCAGACATACCTAAGATACAAGTAAAATTGCTAACGGAAACTCCAAATATTGAAGTTGGTCGAGTCTATGATCAGCAGGAATTCATCAGGTTAAAGCATATACTTTCATTAAGGAGGGATAAGAAGCTCTAAAATAAACAATTTCCTGTCAAGACCCACAACTCTTTGCGCGAAATATATTAGCCCTTCATGTTGATCGACTGCCGCCCGTATATCTTAAGAAGGAAACGTTATCCGAGAGTCCATTCATCCATTACCTATAACAATTTACATTGTTCTAATCTTAATTTTTCACACTTTTTCTATGCAAATTCAAAATGGTTGAATATTGTCTCTAAAAAATGTGAACTTTCGGGAGTATGGTACCACTGATACAGATTTTATGTGTGTGACGTCATAGTTTTCCTCGTGGTTAAAGGCACATTATGCCTCACAAATGAACATTCTATTCCTTCTTTAGAAAGGGAAAACAAGAGTTTAATGACATATAAACAATAAATTACTGTTTTCTGGTATGTAAAATGATGAACCTGGCGAGAGAGGTGGTGCTATAAATGTGGAATTATTTGTCATAATAGCAGCAAAAATGTAAACAAAACACTAAATCACTATAATTATAAAGTGTACTTACTGCCAAAAACAAAGCAACAGAAACAAAAGATGGGTCATGTAATTGACCAATGAGTATCATTTTTGGACACTATAAAAGGACACAAAAAGAATAAAATTAAAATTAAAGTATACTGAGGCATTATGGGCCTTAAAGTGGTTTATTTTCTAGGAAATTCCAGACAAAACTGGTATGTTGATAGATTGTTTCTCTCAGATTGCTTATTACAAGGTAGTTCAGTTCCTACGATGTCCATTAATGATGTTTGTTGAGATATAATGGCAGAACATATGTTAACTGGCGATATTTTATTACAGAAAAAAAAAACGCAATGTCATCATATGATATGTTTGAATTGACAAAAGATCTTTGCCATTTCAAAGAGTTTTATATTTTTCGTGTGGTAGTGTCATCTATCTAAAATACAGACTATTTCAGGGCATTAAAAACTCATACTTGTTCATAAGAAATCAAATTTCAAAGAAAGCTAATTTCTTCTTAAGTTTTTTTAATATCATTTGGATATTAATTCAATATGCATTTAATTTAGATAAAATTGTTTTTATCTTGGATATCTTGTGAGATATTAATAAATATCGAATAGATAAATACATGAGTATCATAAGTTATATATAACAAGCGAAAGAGTGTGTACAAAATATATCGATAAAAATACTTATTGACCTTTAACGTCATGGAAGGTAAAAAATAAAGGAAGGTTTTATCATGTTACGTGGAAGCATTTTGGTGTGGTATTCTGTTTGAGAAGTCTATTTCGATTACACACAAAAACAACAATAAATATTCAGACTCTATTTAATACTTATTATATCAAAGGTAGGCTTATATACACACTATGCTAAGAGTAAGCTAACATATACCATTTGATCAATTGATCAAAGGCTGGTGATATAAACTACTTCCTAGGTATAAAATTGTGGATTCTAAAATATGCAAGAAAAAATAATGCTAAAATAAATAATAAACAGATAAATAAATAAGTAAATAAATAAATATATCATAAATAAATATATCATAAATAAATAAAAAAGTAAATGTTAAAAGATAAATAAGTAAACATTTTGCAAGTGATTAATGGTGTACGATATCATATTTACATACTAATGTTGAGGTCAAAATTATATTTTCTTACCCTATAAGATTTATGTTACTTGCAATTTGTATAATGTTACTATACAATATCATATTTATTTTTACACTGTGTATGGCAATGGTTTCAATAGACAACAAAGAGTAAGGCCATTTTTTGACAATGCCAGTGAAATCAATGTCCAACATATTCATTTACGCAATGAAGTATTTATCTATGATTATGTCTTTATTTATTTGTTAGCTATTACTATATTTATAGAACATATTTTTATTCTCACAGGTTGAAAGAAAGCGGCATATAGGTAACGATATAGTCAACATAATCTTTTGGGACGGTGATACTAACAGTGCATCAGTATTTAAACCAAGTATGATGAAAACAAGATTTACACGTATCCTTTTCAACAAATGCGCTTACATAAGCGTTTGATAATTGCAATCCACGAAAATGTACATTGAGTCAATCCATAGGTTAATCGCTTTGCTTTGTTTTAATGAACTTTTAAATTCCATAGCCTTTTGAATGCTGTCAGTAAAAATGGTTAAAATATGGGGGTAAAGGTCTATAAAGTTCACGGAACGCTGCCATACAGTACTACTGACACGAAAGTAGCATTTCGTGGATGCGCATAAAAAAAGAATAACGAAGGAATGCATGTTATCAGTAATCGGAATAACAACTTTATAAACGTTTTGATCTTATCCCAATTATTATAATGATCTTAACGCCAACCACTGTAACATGAAAACTATTATCACAGCTTTTGTTGTTTTATATGTCAAATTCAACAGAATTATTGATAAATGATTTACAAATTTTAATGTTCAACATCAACTAAATGCTTTTTGAATAAACAAAATAAATAACTATAAAAATATATATTTCAAATCAGATTCACAAATCAAAAGATAGAAACTTGATAAATTAATATATACATTTCTCAAGATAACTTTGTTCACTGGTTTTTATTGGATCGATAAACCGATTTTAAAACTATCATATGGAATAATGTAGAGAAAATCTCTTGTAACAACAACAGGGCCTTAATTGTGAAAGCAAATATTCCATGTGAAAGCAAATATTTCATGTGAACATTCACAGCACTACATCATATTGTTCATAAATCATTTATACTGTTGTCTTTTTCTGTTCTAAGCATATGGAATAAATAAACGGAGACACATGTGACAAATCTTTCAGGAAAGAAGCATCCAACATTTATATACAATCGTCAAATATCAATCATATATAAGCTTACTTTAAAGATTTACTTTGTTTATCTAACTGTTGAACATATGATGTTCCGTTCTGTCATTTTTGTCGCTTCTAATCAATAACATACGTTTGGCATTAGACGCATCGATGTGTCAGGCTATATAACGATACCAAGTCAGTTTGTTATGGAATAGAACACTTCTAAAAGACGATATATCATACGTCATTAATTCGTTATAGTAATGTAGTTTTCTTGAGCGGCGGTAAATCAACGCGATTTTGCTGATTTTGATAACAATGGGAAATTGGATAAACTCGAGCTAGGCTAATTCGATTCGGGTGATTAACTTAAGAAATATACTTTCACATCAAAATGTTTAAGTAAATCAATCATAATTGTCTCGTCCTTGAAAAAGTACACATATACAACAAATACACGGAAAAAAGAATATTCCCCTGTATTTAAGTGCAGCTATACACAAATGTGACAATCAGGACTAAGATATACTTATATATATAGAAAGAGTATTGTATTGCAATTGTGTGTGGAAAAATATTTCATAGGGTTTATCCAAAATGAGTGAAATGGTAGATAAAATCCAGATTGGGTCACCATCAAACTCACAAACTGATATCGGGTATGACCACCTGTATCATGAAGGACTACCTGGCATTGCTGGCCAAAAACGGATCTTCGTTGATTTAGGCTTGTGGGATGTTGTTAATGCTGAATCAAGGCTTGTCTTAGATTAGATGAATGAGGTTTGACCGTGAAATAGGGCGACGTCTAACACGCTGGTCCAAATTATCCCAAGAGTGTTCAATTGGATTTTGATCAGGGCTTTCGACAGGTCAGTCATTAAGAAATGCAATGTTATTCGCCCTGAGAAATTTCACAGTGTCCCTTACTGTATGGCTTGTGGGATTATCATGTTATAAAAGAGTGATATAAGCATTATTTTGAAACATTGGTATAACATTCCTTGCAAAAATGTCATCTCGGTAGCGTTGGACATTCAAAGGCCCGTCGGTAACGACGCGGTAAGTGCAAAAGATATGATATGTGCAATGCTTGCCCAGACAATGACAGAACCCCCAACCCCAAAACTATCTCGTTTAAGTGCGCAGCAGTCGGCAAAAAGTTCATTTCTCCTACGGTATACTCGAACCCTGTCATCAGCTCAATGAATTGAAAACTTCAACTCGCCCAGTTTTGTCTAAGCCAGTTATGGTGTGTATGCCTCAAAACACAACCGACTTATTGCCGACGTCCATGTAGCCCATCCTCGTGCAAGCGATTGCGCACAATTTTGGCAGATATACGGTTATTATGTGTATCAATGCTATTAGCAGTCGAAGCTACGGCAGTTTGGGAGCGATTGCGCTGGTGGGTGTTCCGAATATAGCAGTTTTGACACGAGTCTAGGCGCGTGGACATCCAATACGTGGTCGATCTTCTGTACATCGTGTTGCTTGAAAAACGTTACTCAGCTGTCGAATAGCAAGAGTGGAACATACAATATTTATAGCGACGGCATTCGTCGACATACCAGCTGTAAGCATACCAATGACACGTTCGCGTCAATTTTGAGGAATGCTAAATATGACAAGAAAGACTATAGAATTACACTGAAAAGTTTCATAACTTTTACACGAATATACTGGTCCGTGCATGCACGTGTAAATCGCGTTCAGTGGGTTTCCCTTGCAAAACAAATAAAATGTGTTTTATCGGACATATAAACGGTCGCCCGAATATATGTAGCTTATTTGACTTTTTAACACAGTGGAAGTTCCTCTTTTCATTTGTTCACTGTATATTTTGACAAAATCCAATTCACTTGTACATGAGAGTTGTAAAAAATCAGGCTCCTCGCTTGTTATGAACATTGTATGAAAATAGGGTTATATGTTAAATATCAATTTGCAAACTTCCACATATTATCTAATTATAGTAAAAGAACGAAAAAATGCATTTTAAACACTTAAATTCAACCACTATGCTACACCGAAAGCACTATAAATACTAATAAGATACACCTAAAACACTATATCTCCTATTTGTATACACCTCAAACACTATATTTTCTATTACGATACATCGAAATCACTATAAATACTAATAAGATACACCTAAAACACTATATCTGCTATTTGTATACACCTCAAACACTATATTTTCTATTACGATACATCGAAATCACTATAAATACTATAAAGATACACCAAAAACATATATCTGCTATTTGGATACACCTCAAGCATTATATCTACTTTTTAAGATACACCCCAAGAACTAAATATACCATTTAGATAGTCCTCTTTCAGTATTTCCCTTAACTAACGCAGACATATTTGCCTTGGTAATTTACAACACAGAGACGTGCTGCAATACCGGTAAGTACATTCTAAATTATTTGTACAAAGTCGTTAAGTTCTTCCTCGCTTCTCAAACTTAAATTGCTAAAAGCATTTACTTTATTG